ATTTTTTTTTTCAATGTTCAAAAAAGGGGGGGGGATCAATGCCAATTTCTCACTGAGTACTGAGACACATTTCCTGCATCCAACAGGCACCCCTTACTAAGACTTGCCTAAGGCTTATCGTTGTCACTATCCCAACTTAAAAAGGAAATGAACTTATTGGCAATGACTGCATTAAACGGAAAGCTGTTGAAAGCAGCCCCTGTCCCTGTCTGCCGCTGCCGACCTAGATCCCGCACAGCCTGCAGATCGCACAAGCCAGTTCTCAAGGCCTCAAGCCCTGGAGAAAACGCTGTTAAGATGATCAGCGGGGAAGCCCTCAGAAGGCGTTGCGGTCCTAGAGCCATCTGTGTTGCCGGCTGTAAACCGGTTCCTGCTTTCCCCAGCATGTGATCTTTCTCGGGTCACCTTTCTCATGGAGACGCTAAGCCACCGTTTGACCTGGACCACTTCAGAACGCAGCTCATGTGACAGAATGCACCTTATGTGTATTTTTTTAAAGAAAAAATCCGCACACATGGAAAGCTGGTAGAAAAGTGTTCAACTTTAGCCCTTCTCAGTGAGAGGCTAACTTTCTAGGTGCGGGGCGTATTTTTCTCGGGTAGGAAAACCCACTCACTGACTCACAGGAGCTCTTTTGCAGAGTGGTAAGGATCAGGCACAAGTTTACTACCTTGGTGAGAACGATCCCTCATCTGTTAGGACCTCTACCTGCAGGCCACAGGAAAACAAGTTTCTGCCACAGAGTAGGGAGGGATACAGCATTTGTATATAGAGTGGAGAGAGAGATATGGTGTCCCCATCACTTCCCCTGTAGTTACATGGGGCTTCTCCGTGCCTGGCATAGCCAGAAGCAGCAGGAGGGTTCAGAAGTGCTACCCTTAACATTCGGAACAGGGACAATGTTGAGGCTGCCCTATCATCCCACAGAAGTGCTCTTCCTGACCCACCAAACTGGAGATGATCACTTTAGAGGTTTCTAAGCTCTGGCTTGGCACTGTCATCCACGAGCCGCCACATGGGCAAAGCCCATAACTTGGCTTGCCAACCTCCAGGTAGTTGTGAAGAAGAAGAAGAAGAAGAGAAGAGATTGGATTTATACCCCGCACTTCACTCAGAGTCTCGGAGCGGCTTACAAACTCCTGTCCCTTCCCCTCCCCACAACAGACACCCTGTGAGGTAGGTGGGGCTGAGAGAGCTCTGACAGAAACTGCTCTTTTTCAAGAACAGCTCTGACAGAACTACGGTCATCCAGCCAGGTGCAAGTGGAGGAGTGGGGAATCAAACCCGGTTCTCCCAGATTAGAGTCCGCGCACTTAACCACTACACCAAGCTGGCTCTTATGGAAAAATATACGACACTGTGTATAATAGATGTATGCTTAAGGTAGATCTATTTTGTGATTTTTATTTTTTATTTTAAAAAAATTCTATACTATTATGTAAATATTGTTGTCAAATATTATCAAACATAGGTTTCAACAAAACCGATATTTCAAAGTGCAGGTTTAGGGTATGTTCAAACATCCAAACAGCACTTTGTCAGTTTCACAATCACTAGTCCCACAGGACTCTAGTAATTTACCCCTATCGAATACAATCTTTTTCAAGGACAGTGATGTACATACAGGATATAAGGTGCAATAAAACACTTAGCAGCATGTTTTCTAGGGTCCCATCAGAACCCTTGCA